GTTTTTCTGGAACATTCTGGGGCTTTTCCAGAGCATTCCGGGGCTTTTCCACAACATTCCGGGGCTTTTCCAGAACATTCCAGGGTTTTTCCTTGGCGGTTCCGGGGTTTTTCCACAACATTCCGGGGTTTTCCGAACATTCCGGGGCTTTTCCTTGGCATTTCTGGGGTTTTTCCAGAACATTCCGGGGTTTTCCGAACATTCCGGGGTTTTCCCGGAACATTCCGGGGCTTTTCCAGAACATTCTGGGGCTTTTCCAGAACATTCCGGGGTTTTCCGAACATTCCGGGGCTTTTCCTTGGCATTTCCGGGGCTTTTCCAGAACATTCCGGGGTTTTCCGGAACATTCCGGGGCTTTTCCAGAACATTCCGGGACTTTTCCAGAACATTCTGGGGCTTTTCCAGAACATTCCGGGGTTTTTCCAGAACATTCCGGGGTTTTTCCAGAACATTCCGGGGTTCATCCCCGAGTTCTGGAGTTTTCCCGCTGTTTTCCCGTGGAATTCCGGCGTTTTCAGGCGTTTTTCTGGGGGTTGGGGGAGTTTTTCCTGCGTTTCTGTTTCTTCCCGTTGACGGTTGTTGTCGGCTCGGTGTTCCCGGGGTTTTTCCAGGTGTTCCCAGGGTTGTTCCCGGTGTTCCCAGGATCTTTCCCGGTGTTCCCGGGGTTGTTCCCGGTGCTCCAATGGTTTTTCCAGGTGTTCCCGGGGTCTTTCCCGGTGTTCCCAGGGCTTTTCCCGGTGTTCCCGGTACTCCCAGGATCTTTCCCGGTGTTCCCAGTGCTCCCAGCATTTGTCCTGGTGTTTTTCCCGGTGTTCCCGGTGTTTTTCTCGGTTTTCCCAGGGCTTTTCCCGGTGTTTTTCCCGGTGTTCCCGGTACTCCCAGCATCTGTCCCGGTGTTCCCAGTGTCTTTCCCGGTGCTTTTCCCGGTGCTCCCGGTGTTTTTCCCGGTATTCCCGGTGTTTTTCCTGGTGTTCCCAGTGTCTTTCCCGGTGTTTTTCCCGGTGTTTTTCCCGGTGTCTTTCCCAGTGTTCCCGGTGTTTTTCCCGGTATTCCCGTTGTTTTTCCCGTTGTTTTTCCCGGTGTTCCCGGTGTCTTTCCCGGTGTCTTTCCCAGTGTTTTTCCCGGTGTTTTTCCCGGTGTCTTTCCCAGTGTTCCCGGTGTTTTTCCCGTTGTTTTTCCCGTTGTTTTTCCCGGTGTTCCCGGTGTCTTTCCCAGTGTTCCTGTTGTTTTTCCCGTTGTTTTTCCCATTGTTTTTCCTGTCTTTCCCAGTGTTGTTTTTC